GCCCAACTTGGTGTTGTCTGCAAACTTACTGAGGGTGCACTCGATCCCCTTGTCCAGATCATTGATAAAGATATTGAACAAGACCGGCCCCAAAACTGGGCCCTGGGGAACACCGCTCGTGACCGGCCGCCAACTGGATTGAACTCCAAGAAGCTGTCTGCCCTGTATCCCAAGGAACTGGGAGGTGCTTCAGTCCCTTTCTCCTTGAAAAAGCACTTTTTGCATAAGTTTGAAGACTTACTGCTCCCGTTTCCCTGTTCAGGCACTTCCTCTGTCTGTACTGGTTGGCTCCAGCTTGCTCAGCCTTTCCCTGCGGGTTAGGTTTTCTGGACCTCATGCAGCTTTTCCCTTTGCTGGCCTGACCCCAGCTGTCTCTCCCACCACGTGAGTGCTCAGAGCTGCGCACGGGGTGTTCTGCAGAGGTTTCTCCACTGTCTTCTGGGTTACATCCCGTTTACACATCCCAGTAGGATGTTTGATTTTTCTGTGTGTGTGACAGCGCGGCACTGTTTGCGCTTGGCTTGCAATCGGCAGGCTTCTCTCCTGCAGGTTTGCTGTCTAGCAAGTTGTTTCTCCACTGTGTGTTCAGGCTGTTGACTTTTCCTATCTAATTGAAACACCGTTTGCATGGGTCTGTTGAACAGCTTTCTGCACCAGTTTGCGAAGGATCCTGCTGTCTGTTTGTCTTAGTCCTGTCTTGATAGTGCTTTAACTCATGGACCAGTTTCAGTCTGTTTTGACAGAGGAGCAGATGCTCCCAGGACATTAAAATCCTACAAGTTTCATGAAAAGTGGTAGCTGGATGAAGAAGAGGAGGCAGGTGAGTTGTCCCACCAAGGGAAGGCTGCAGTGTGAGTTGCCTGACAGCCAGCCCTGAGCCAGCTGTACACTGGCTGCGTGGCGCCCAGGTCGTAATTAGGGGATACAGAAAGGAGATGTAAGCGTGTTAGGGCATGGGAAAGGAAAGAAGGAACCATTTTTGACCATAAACTGTTAACAATTTATCTGTGCGCATAGTTTATCTAACAATTCTGTGCTGTCCCTCTGTGTTTTTGTTTGGATTGTTTCCTTAGCTTGCCCATAAGAGTACCTTAGGAGCATACTTCACAAGCCTTGGTAAAGTCAAGAATATATGATGCCTACTGCTTACCCTGTCCCACAAGGCTTGCAGCCTTCTTGCAGGGGAGTTTAGATAGGTCTGACATGCTGTGTTCTTGTTTAAAACAAACCAAAAAAAGTTTCTTTTCTTTTTTCTTGCATTCTTCTAGTTGCTTGTAAGTACTTTGTCCCCGTATCTCCCTGAGGATTGTAGTTAAGATGCGGGTGTTCAGTTTCTCGTTCTTTTTAAAAATAATTTTGCCCTTTTCTTGTCACTTGGTGTCTCACACCTCCTCAGGTGTTACCGCAGCAAACCACTAACAGACAGCTTGACAGCCCATTCTTTACGTGACTTAGGATGAACCTCATTAAAACCAGCCTTCTGCTCAAAAATCTAACTTATTTAGGTTGCTATTCATTACCAGAGTGCTGGAGTGGTGGTGTGGGACAGCCCCTACCCTGCTGCAGCGGGTGTGGGTCAGTGTCCATAAGCCATGTGAGCCCTATGAGTGACTTGTCTGGGTTTGGTGCATCCCCCAAGCCCACGCTGGCTGCTCCCTCAGCCACCTTGGCACTCCATTGCAGGTCTGTGGAGGCATCTTTGCTGCCATCTGATCTTCCTGTAAAAAGCTGCAGACTCTACTGCAACACAAGATTTTTATGTCTGTTGGACTGGGGGAAGAAGGTGGGCAGAGAGAGGGAGGTTTCTCCATCAATGGGGCACTTTCTTCTTCTGTTCTGTTTTCGCTCAGTTAACCAGAGGCCTATGTAAGTAGCAGCTTTCTATTTAGGCAGGTTTATAGGTTTTAATTTAAGTTTGTAAAGTGTGCCTAGGGCCTTGATGAAGCGGTCTGCGAGAAGAATGTGTGTTTTTGCAGTGGGGGGGTGTTTTCCTCTTTATTTTTTTTCTGGCTTTGCTGGATCACAGCCAAACTTTTCAGCTATATTTTTTTGAGATTTATTTTTTTCCATGAGTGAACTTAGAAAGAGTTGTAACTTATCACAGCAAAAGCTCCAAAACAGTCCTATTTTTAAAGAGAACATTTCACTCGGCTGAGTGAGTATGAGTACGTATGAGAGGGAGAGAGACGTGTGTGCATGCTGGGTCAGGGGATGGTGTTGATTTTGGTGCTGGGGCTTTTAGCTACCTTCACCCACCCCCATCGCCACGTTTTTTCCAAGTCCAGCCTCTGATGTAAATTAGAACAGCTGATAAAATATATGTTTAGCTGTTATAGCCCCGTGGGGGGAAACAGTGCAATA